CTTGGATGTGTCAAACCTGCAACCACACATACCAACACATAGCCACAAAAACATATGAGCGTAGACCCAAGCGTGCACATCACAAAGTCGTTGTCCTTCACTGTAAGCATGAGGGCGAGTCGGCGCGCGAGCGCCACCTCAAACGAAAGCCATGACTACGTGGAGATCCTTGCGAAAACCTCTGCAAGTCCTTGAATCCACATGTTCCACAGTGATGTGCTGGGATGCATGCACAGGGATGACAAGAGACGTCCCGGTACCGGAGATGTTTTCGTCTCCGCAGGGTGGGCAAAACCGAACGAGGCCTTGAATGGAGAATTTGACCACGCCAACGACATCTTGCATTCTACAACGACTTGTGGGGAGAGGTCTCAAACAAGAATGACGCAGACTGCAAGGTTGTTCAATTTGAATTTCCCAAAGACCTCAAATTCATTGAGTTTGTTTTTTCACTATTGTTTCCACGTTGTTTCTTCCCAGTCTCTCACGATCTCTGGATTGCCAAGCCACGGCCATTTGGAAGATGACAAGGCACAAGGTCTGCGCTTTTAGCCTCAAAAGTCTCAAAAGCACGAGTTACATCGAGTTAAAAGTTGGGCAAAATGTTTTGCGAAAGCTGTCACAATGATGAAGGTGTTTGTGTGTCTACCATATACCATGGAATAATTTCATGATGTGGGCCTGTGGGCTTAAGGTATGACATACTGACATACACTCCTTGATTCGCTTGTCTTGAGATCCATTTGCAGACTACTTTCATGGTTTCATGTCAGTATTGTTACAAGGTCAATATACCGTAATATACCATACAGATTCAACCTCACAGTGTTCACGCCTTGTATGACCACCGGTGGCAAGAGCTGCACCCAGGACTTTCCCAATTTGAGCCAAGGGGGCGGGCACAGGACTACATGTTCCAAGGTTTGTAGCACATGTATCCACTAGCCAATCTGCACCCTAAACAGGTTGAACAAAGCTGTGATCTGAGCGATGCCGACAGACAATTGTCTAGCCAAAGTATTGGACCGTCCGTTCTCTGTGCAGTTGTCTTTCTCACTGTGGACCTTTGTAGCGAAGAAATTGCGAAAGGACATGATGTCACGGATTCTTCACCAATACGACTTGGCTGATTCCAAGCGAAAGGTGCAATACAGTCCCTTGTGGCATTGATGAATGAGGTTGCACCTTCCATCCGAAGGGAGAAATGTAAGCAGCCCTCCATCTTTCCAGACCAGGACTGAGCCAGAGATTTTCCCGTTTTTGCAAATCTTCCAATGCTCGTTATCAAGTGGGACCATATTCGATCTACCGATATGCACAGGTTATCACAGGTTCATGCGACGCCTCATTATGAAAAGATATTTGGCTACCAAATGAAATACAAACATCACCCTCTGGACTGCCCGTAGCCTTTCATTCTTCCCAAATTGGACATCCCTGGTTCCTAGAATTCCGAAACTGTTTCCTGGAAAATATAAAATTGGATTCCTTTGGTAGGTTGATTGCTGGTAGGTGGCACAGAGGGTGTCCGAAACTCACAAATCGAACTTTGAGGGCACCCCGATAGGCAAACTACCCTGGCAAATTGACTTCTGGCAACATCAGCAAAGCACCCGCTAGCATTGCTGCTCATGTCATTTTCACAAAAACTAGTTGCAAACATCTTGTGAAACGCTGATGTCTTCGAAATAAAATTGTTTGCACACTGTATCCTCGAATATTCTCTGCTGTTGCAAGCCACCTGGGAAATCCCATTTCTCTCTCATGACACAGAGATAACGCAAAAATACCCGTTTTGAAACCTGTGCTAAGGGAAGTTTGACAAGCATGTTTGCATCACCAACGACTTGAATTCTGTCGTGATGCTTGCCCAATTCCTCCCACAACTTTAGCAACGGAAGCTGTGCCATGTCCCTGCCACACGTGCCACGAGGGGAGTTCCGCGCACGTCCAAAAACCGGCAGCTTTGCAAACTCTGGAAACCAACAGTCGGTCGGAGATGCACCACATGTCGTGCCACCCATCACGAATGACCAGGAATAGAAAACGCCATAGGGCACGTAAATCACAGCGACCAAACCATCCAAAAAAACTGAGTGCCTCATGGTTCGGCGTTCAAATTTGTGGTTTCGAATTCAACATTTTCAACATGCTCAATCTGTTCAAGTTACTAACATATTCAATTTGCTCGGTTTGTTCAATTTGTTCCACTTTCTCAACCTGCTCAACTTGCACACCTTGTTCAACCTGTTCACCTTGTTCAACATGTAATTTTGCTCAGTTTGTTCAAATCTTCCGATGGTTCAACACGATCAACTTTCTCAACATGTTCAAAATATTCAAGTTGCGCAAACAACTTGAGGATTTCAGGTTTTACAGTACCTGCATCCTTTGGGAATGCGGAATGCGACCCATGGCAAAGTGCCCAACCCCCAAGTTCAGCTCAAACACTTTTTCCCCAAACAGCGTGTCCACACCGAGGGGTTCTTGCGATAACAGTAAAAAAACCGGTTCTTGATCAGGGTGCTCCAGCTGGGCCCGGGCATAAAACATGTAATTTTCCACACACAAAGTGGCTCTCGTCAAATGTTCAAGTGCATTTCGCCTGCGCAGGCTCGCACAAAGTGTGGTCCGCAATATCTGGAACCGGTCCTCCTCATCATCGTCCTCCTCCTCAACATCACCATCCTCAACATCATCATCCTCCCCTCATCTTCCTCCACCTCATCTTCCGCGACATCGTTATCCTTTTCATCATCCTCCGCCACATTTTCATCCTGCACCTTATCATCCTCCGCTTCATCTTCCGCATTATCATCCTCATCCTCATCATCCTCCACCTCATCATCCTCCACCTCATCATCCTCAACATCATCACCCTGCACATCACCATCCTCAACATCATCATTCTCAACACCCTCCACCTCATATTCCGCAACATCATCCTCCTCCACCTCATCTTCCCCAACATCATCCTCCTCCACCTCATCTTCCGCGACATCGTTATCCTTTTCATCATCCTCCTCAAAATTATCATCCTCAACATCATCATCCTGCACCTTATCATCCTCCACTTCATCTTCCTCATTACCATCCTCATCCTCAACATCATCATCCTCCACATCCTCATCCTCCACCTCATCTTCCACAACATCATCATCCTCCACCTCATCTTCCGCAACACTGTCATCCTCAACATCATCGTCCGTAACATGTTCATCCTCATCATCATCATCATGATCATCCCCATACACATCGTCATACATCATCCCCCCGCTCCCCCACACTGTTTGGGGTCTCTTTCCGGGATAAGTTTATGTCAATGTGGCCCTGAGACTTCTCAGTTTCAAAGGTCCATTGCCCATTGCAGGAAAATCTGATCAGTTTCATCCGGTGCTCAGCAATTCCCCACCTGTCAGGTGAGGGTTGTGAGATTTTATGTCAGCTGTCCCGCCGCTGCCTCCTCCTTCGCCGGACCTCAACTGCAAGCGCTGGACCGCAACGTTTCCCCCAAACCCGAACAACAACCTCTGGATCACAGTGATCCCCGCCGTCTAAGTCTAGATCGCAGTGCTCCTCCCTCCGGACCCGAACAGCAAGCTCCGGATCAAAGTCCTCCCCACCACAGTGTTCCCCGCCGGACCTCAACCACAAAGAATCTCCGAAGATATACCATATAGAATGCCAGAAAAAATGTCAGAAGATATACCAGATGCATATGCCAGAATCAATGCCTGAAAAGATGCCAGATAGAATGTCGGAATAGATGCCAGATAGAATGCCAGAAAGAATGTCAGAATATATGCCAGAAAGAATGTCAAAATAAATATGCCATAAATAATTCCAAATGGTTTGTGAGAAACTATGTCGCAATAGTGTTTCCGGGTAGGGATCGCTCAAAAGAAAGTAGTTAAATTAGTTTCATTGCGCTGTGATTGTTTTAACCTGGCCTGCCGGTTTGTTTTTGGTGGATGTTTGTCAATTTGTGTGCCTTCCATGATGTGACTCGAGGTTGTCCTGGCAGCAAGTCCCGGAAAATGTGCAAAGGTCGTTTCAAACCGGTCCCTATGCTTGGGAACAGTTGCAAGTACAGGTTGCACTTGCGTGATTGCTATTTGCAAAGAAGAAAAAACAAATGTCACGAGACCAATGCCAGTGACGAGGACCAAATGCCTGCGGCGTTGTTCCAAGTTGGTTGGTTGTACTTACTCAGCTGACGGCTAAGCTGCTCGCTTAAACGTTGGAATTTGCTGAAATAGTAGTACTGTTATGGCTGGCATGGATGTAAAGCCGACGTATGCAAAATTGTTTGTTTAACCAAGTTGCCAATGTCTCTGGACCTTTTTTTTGGCCAGCAGAGGGACAGCCACGCTTACGGTTTCTGTCTTTCCCTAAGACTCAGATGTGCTTTCTTTGCAGATGCCTTCAAACAAACCCAATCCTTTGTGCAAGAGATCTTTTGACTGAAGAGGGTGTGTAATTTGCAGCTTGGTGAGTCTCATTTGTATTTTTTGCTGTTTTCTAGAACCACATGACATTCCAAAACGCTTCGGCTAACAACACCCAATTCGAATGACAGAACCCATGGAAGGCAAATGAAAAAGGACTTCAGATCGGGCGCCCAAACTTACTGAGAAAGAAACTAGTTTCGTGAGCACGGGAATCCGCGCTGTGGGATGTTTTGGACCCGTAGAAACCGAACTTCTAGGCGAAACTAGGTTTGGTTTTTTGTTGCGTTTTTTTTGCGCTAGTGAGCTTAGCACTATCTATCTATCTATCTATCTATCTATCTATCTATCTATCTATCTATCTATCTATCTATCTATCTATCTATCTATGTGAGTTGCATGCCATGCACCTAGCCTGAAAAGGCGCCCGTCGCTTGCAGCTGAGCACCTCGCGCGGCTTAGCTTGGAGCTGGGTTGGAACTTCCCTGGGCTAAACTACACAGGTACCCCAGACATCAGGCCACACCCTTTTTTCTCTTTTCCCATGTCCTCCTACTTTTGCAACTTCTTCTCCTTGCAGGCCTTCACTTCACCCAAAGTCTTGCCATCCTCCAACATCTTCTTCAGCTCTGCTGCAATCTTCTTGCTCTGCTCCATGCCCTTGTGACTCTGTGACTCTTCACTTGCAGTATCTGCTGGCCCCCTCTGATCCTCACAGCACAGCTCCCCACTTTCTTGTAGGGCATGAGGATCAAAGGCTGTGTCACTGACTGGTCATCGCCAAGTTTGCCAGTTCCAGGGGCCTTGGCAGCAGCTGGTTTCTTGCAGGCAGCAGCTGGTTTCTTGCAGGCAGCAGGCCTTTTCTTGGCTACTTCAGCTTTCAGCAGAGCTTTCCTCACAGGGATTGGCTTGCTTTTCTTGGCAGAAGCCAGCAGGCCTTCATCTTCTGATTCCTCCTCTTGAGTGGAAGGGATCTGGAACTCTTCCAACAGTGCTGCTGTGCCAGGGCTTACACCCTTCTTCTCTTCTTCATTCTTCTTCTTCTTTACTGGGGTGGCTTCTTCCTTATCTGCTCCAAACCTTTTTGCAGGCTGCTCATCTTTTTTCAGCCACCCTGCTATCTCTTCCAGCTTTTTAGCTTGGAAACTTGTGAGTTTGGACCAAGCCTCAGCCAGTCTGCCCTCATCTCTGCCAATCCTCCTGGCATGGTTGCAGACAACCAAAATGCCATCTGCAAATGCCTTGGCAGCATTCCCTTGTTGGCTGACAGGGAACCTGTCCTTCAGGCCAGGGAATTGCTTCAGCACTTCAACAAACACTCTCTTCAGGGTTGAGTACTTGAACTCCAGTGTGGAGCTCACTTTCAGCAAATCTTCTACTACATGCTGAAGGTCTGCCAGGGCACTTCCTCTCACAGCATGGCTGGCTTCTGTGTGGAAGTAGGCTCCTAAGGCAAAACTGGCAGAGACACCAGCTTTCTGGAGGTGCTCCTCATCCACCTCAGGAACTTGTGTCCTTCTGGCCCCCCCTTCTGTTTCTTGGACATGGCAAAAAAATCCTGCAGAAACCAGTTCCAAGACACAATTTTGAGGCTTTCCAGCCTATAGTGATGAAGCCATCCAGCCTATAGTGATGAGGCTATCCAGCCTATAGTGATGAGGCTACCCAGCCTATAGTGATGAGGCTATCCAGCCCAGCTGTAAGCATGATTTGGAAACTGCAAAGATGAGGCTATCCAGCCTGCAAGGGCTATCCAGCCCAGCTGCAATCAGGCTTGGAAAATTGCAAAAAAATGATAGAAAATTGTTTTTTTTTTCAAGTTGAAAATTCAAGTGAAAATTCAAGTGAAAATTCAATAGAAATTTCTCAGTTTTCAATAGAAAATTCAATCGTTTTTTACTTTTCACTTGAAAAATTCAATCGATTGCAAATTTCAATCGCCACTTGAAAATGCACAAAAAATCAATATTTCACTTGATTTTTTTCAAGTGAGGATGCTCTGGGCAGTCTGGTCCTGGAAGGTGACATGGGCATTCTCCAGCATCGCCACGCTATCAGTTGCTGCACGCTTTGTGCCCTGTGACTTCGGGCTTGAACTGCCTTGGGACTTGCTTGGCAAAGGGCAGTTCACTGCAAAGTGTCCAGGTTGACCGCAGCGAAGACAAGTGAGTGCAGCTTTGGAGTGTCCTCGGGGATCAGCAGCTTTCATAAGGCTCTTGGTGTAGCGGTAAGTGCCAGACTTACCTTTGGGCGTACCGCCCTTCGACTTGCCCTTCTTGCCCTTAGCGGACGAGCTGCCAGCAGGTGAAGTCACACCAGGGGCCAAGTTGCCAGCCGCAGGGTCATTCAGGGCGACCACAGGGAGGAAACCACGAGCCAACTTCAAGTCGGAGAAGCGACGTCGGTCTCCTCAGAGTCCGCCGCATCCACAGCCACATAGCCACGGCTTCGACCACCCTTCCCAAAGCCACGTCGGTCATGAAAACCAGCTTGGGCCGTGTGCTTGTAGTCCTGCCCAAGCACAAGATACAAAGCCTCAGTGACCTTGGAGATCTCGAGCTGGGGCGCTCTCAGGGTAATCAACTGCTTCTGCTCCTTGGTGAGGTTGCAGCGACGTAGAAGGTGCCAGCCTTGCAGGGCGTTGTGCAAATCCACGCCATGCTTCGACAAGCGCTTCAGGTGCTCGTTGTGGAGCGCCACAAACTCCATCAAGGACTGCCCGGACTTCCTCGAGAGCCCGAAGTAGGCACCGAAGTCCGCCGGCACCTGCGCCCGGCTGTCGTACTCGAAGTGCTGGTCGAGGACCTTCAGGATGGAATCGAAAGTCCCCTCCTTCTCAGCGGTCGTCACATCGAAGTCTTCCATCAAGCGCCATGCCGCGCCTGTGAGAGTGCTCACCAAGTTGATGACTGCTTCACCACGGCGGTTGCTAAGGGCCATCTTTGCATGGTGCAGCTGTATCCTTTTCCTCCATTCTCTATAGTCAGCCGGCTGTCCCGTGAACATGGGGATGTAGGAGTCGCGCTGTGCAGGGCTCTCCGATGATGTAGCGGCAGTTGACATTCCTTAGGAAGTCCTTAGTGCTGGAAGATCTAATGGCCGTTATATACTGAAGGAAGTCCAGCACTTGGATCAGCGCAGCAAGGCCAGCAGAAAGGCTGGCTCCGCTACCAATGCAAAAGCTTCAGCTACTCCCTTGGGCTGGCTGCTACTTGCCAAGCTTTGGGCCTCACTTCTGGTCAGGGCACACATGATGGTTGGTTCAAGAGGCTTTCCAGCCCATAGAAATGTTTTTGGGCTACCCAGCCCACAAAAATGCTTTGGGCTATCCAGCCCACAGAATAGTGTAGGCTATCCAGCCCACAGATGATTTGGGCTTTCCAGCCCACAGCAATGTTTTTGACTATCCAGTCCACAGAAATATTGTTGGCTATTCAGCCCACAGAAATGATTTGGGCTATCCAGCCCACAAAATTGATTTGGACTATCCAGCCAACAGACCTTATTTAGGCTTTCCAGCCCACAAAAATGCTTTGGACTATCCAATCCAAAAAAAAACATTATCCAGCCAATAATATTTTTTGGGGGCTTTCCTATGCTTCCTGATACCTACACCCAGATGCCCAGCCCACTAAAAAGCTGTAGGACCCCGCTGGGAAGGGCAAGAAGGGTGAGAAGGGCAACAAGGGAGGGTGGACAGAGAACTGGGCAGGAAAAGGAATGCCTCCAGGAGGAGGAGGAGGAGGAGGTGCAGCAGTGTGGAGGCAGAACCTGAGGAGTTTGGCAGAGTTCCACTGTCCAAATATGGAGATTGGACCGTTTCTGTTCCAGCTGGCCCTGTACACCCAGCAGCACACAGGAGTGATGAAGCTGGACTTCGAGTCAACCCGCATGTACATGATTCGAGTCAAGCAGCAGGTGGCAGAAGGACTGCTGCTTCTGGGCTGAGGGGTTTTGATTTTGGGCTGGGTAGCCCTTCACATGTAACCATTATGTGTGGGCTGGAAAGCCCTTTTTTTGTTAGGCTGGATAGCCTTGAGCCAGGAATAACACAAGTAACACACAGAAACTATATTCAACATTTAATTACTCTTCATTCTGTGGGCTGGAAAGCCTTGAGCCAAAATAACACAATCAAAATAAAACTATACAATTTTTAAGTTTCACCATTCTTCATTTTTTGGCTGGATAGCCTTGAGCCGTTTGTTTAGGCTGGATAGCCTTGAGCCAACAAAAAGCATATATATTGCCCATTGGTCCTGCTGCAGGAATGGCAGACCAGGACTTCTACGAGGTGATGGTGGAGAGGATGCTTGCAGCTATGCTGGGGGAAGCTGCAAGGAGTTTGGGGCATACAATGCCTCCATGGTTGCCCCCTGCCACAGCAGCAGCCCCTGCTGCAGCCCCTGCTGCAGCCCCTCCCCCAGCAGCAGCCACAGGAGGAGCCATGGGAGGAGCCCCTGCCCCAGAAGCAGCAGCACCCACTTATGGAAAAGGAACACCCAGTGGCATGACAGGAGGAGAAGTGGCAGACATGTCAGGAGGAGCACCCCCTGCAGGAGGATGGCCTAATGCTCCCTGGAACAACCCAGCCCCACATGGAGGAAAAGGGAAGAGTGAGGCTGCAAGTGGGGATGGAGGAGGAAAAGGGAAGAGTGATATTGGAGGATCTGGAGGAGGAAAAGGCAGTGAAGGATCTGCGGCACCTGCAGCCCCACATGCAGGAGGAGGAGGAGGACAAGGCAAGAGTGAAGGAGATGGATCTGCACCAGCTGGAGGAGGAGGAGGAAAAGGCAACAGTGAGGGAGATGGAGCTGCACCAGCCCCACATGAAGGAGGAGGAGGAGGAAAAGGCAAGAGTGGGGGAGATGGAGCTGCACCAGCTGCAGGCCCACATGGAGGAGGAGCTTCATCTTCAGCAGGTGGTGGAGCAGGAAGATGGGATGGAAGCTGGGATGGCTGGAGCGATTGGGGCTGGCAAGGAGGATGGGAAGGCTGGGAAGATGGCAGCTGGCATGGTGGAGCAGGTGGTGGAGCAGGAGGGGAAGTTTGGGAACACCAAGGGCAAGATGTACCATGGGCTCAGAAGAATTTTGGTTGCTATTGATTAATTTTCCATTTTTTCATTGAATTCATGCAAGTTTGTTGTTCTCACAGCATGCATGTTAAGCACAGAATGGCCACACATGTGCCCAGGAGTCCCAGAGATCTGGAGGACTGGGAAGGAGGCGACAGAGAATTCTGGGAAGCCCTAGTCCACATGGATCTGGACTATGTGATGATCCACTGTGACCTTGGCAGAATGTGTGGCTGGAGAGCCATTTTTTGGGCTGGATAATAGGTTTTTGTAGGCTGGATACCTCATTCTCTTGGGCGCCCGATCTGAAGTCTTTTTCCCGAGAGCGCCTGCGAAGGGTTCTTCGTAAAAAAGCAGCCGTTATACTACATCTTCACACCTTCACACCTGCAGATCTACATCTTCACACCTTCACATCTGCCGATCTACATCTTCACACCCTCACATCTGCTGATCTAGATCTTCACACCTTCACACCTGCAGAGATCTAGTCTTCACACCCTCTTCTACATCTTCTCACACCTGCAGATCCACATCTTATCACACTGCAGATCTTCACACTGCCATCTTCAGATCTTCACACCTTCACATCTGCTGATCTAGATCTTCACACCTTCACACCTGCAGATCTAGATCTTCACACCCTCACATCACAGATCCTGCAGATCTAGATCTTCACACCCTCACATCTGCAGATCTACACCATCTTCACACCTCACATCTGCAGATCTACATCTTCACACCTTCACACCTGCAGATCTAGATCTTCACACCCTCACACCTGCAGATCTAGATCTTCACACCCTCACATCTGCAGATCTAGATCTTCACACCCTTCACACCTGCAGATCTAGATCTTCACACCCTCACACCTGCAACACCTGATCCACATCTTCACACCCTCACACTGCAGATCTACATCTTCACACCCTCACACCTGCAGATCTAGATCTTCACACCTTCACATCTGCAGATCTAATCTTCACACCCTCTTCTGCAGATCTAGATCTTCACACCCTCACACCTGCAGATCTAGATCTTCACACCCTCACACCTGCAGATCTAGATCTTCACACCCTCACATCTGCAGATCTACATCTTCACACCTTCACATCTGCAGATCTCCTCTCGCTCTTCTTCTATTTCTCTCTTAAGGCGGGGGCGGTGCCGCCGGAGCGCCGCGAAACGCAACCCTTATGGACGTTGGACGTCAAAAACTGAGGAAAAATTGCGACTTTGATGCGTCGCGCGCAACCCTTTCGCACGAAATGGACGTTGGACGTCAAAAACTGAGGAAAACTTGCGATTTTACTTAGTCAATCGCAACCCTTTCGCACGAAATGCACGTTGGACGTCAAAAACTGAGGGAAAATTGCGATTTTATTCAGTCAATCGCAACCCTTTCGCACGAAATGCACGTTG